TTGGTTTGGTATATAAGCTCCTATTAATTTAGAGACCATTTTTTTTTTGTTATCACTATTTAGCATATGGAACTATGGGCTCTTAAATGAATTGAAGTAGATATGGCCAAAGAAGGAGAGTATTTAACTGTGCTAGTAAAATAAGAGACTCTGTTAACCAAATTGTGTTATACAAAGTGATTATTCCATTAAAATAATATGATACAACTTATGAGGAGATGATAAAATGAACATAGCATACAAAATAAAAATAAAACATTTCCCCCGTTTTCTTCAACATTGTTTCTAATTTGATCTGTAATTGGTCTTACAGTTATTACTTTCACATTCTTATTCCTAGAATATTTAGTATTTGCCTTTGAGTCCTAGCACAGATGAAAACCATGTGGATCTAGAATTTTTTAACCTTTTCTACTTAATTAGTAAAGAATCTGTCATGAGGGTGTTTTTGCACAGTATCTTCAGCAGGTTAACAAAGAGCTTGGTAGCTCAGCATTATGTTGTCATGGCAACTGCCCAAGAATGTTTTTGGTGTTTTGTGTGTGTGTATGTGTGTGGGCGTGCACACAGGTGTGCACAGGGACGTGCTTTAAACTGAAACCCTAGCCAGGTTCTTAAAATGTCGACTATCCATTTTTAGATTTCTAAAGCTATGCCAAAACCAAGAGAAATTACATTTATATGGGATTCTTGAAATTCTCCTCTTGCTATGTTTTGTTTTCTAGTATATTTAAAAGTCATAATAAGTTTAAGTTCATATACATATGCATCTCCCCATCTCTGGATAGTTCATAATCTTACCAGTTTTTCTTGAAATCATGAGGAAACCAGTTTTTTCTTTTCTAAATATGAGATATTTATAACATCAAATGTAAAAAATTTTGACAGTAAATAATTTGCAAGAAGCCAGTGGAACAGGGGCTCATGAAATGAGCATGCAGAAACATGGATGGGCAGCTGGACACTTTCAACCATGGTCTTGCAGGACTTTGCTTTGAAGTGGATATTAAACCCCAAACTGGTCAATGTCTATACTGTCATTCCAGACACCCTAAGCTGTAGTTTGTGTGACCACTCGTAGGGGTGGTGATCAGGGGGAAATGGCATTAGCCAACATTGACTGAATACCCACTCAGTGTGTGATGGGCACTGTTCTGTGTACCGTAGGCTGTACTCAGTTCCCACAATAACCCTATAAAGTAGATCTTATTATCACTTCCATTTTATAGATGGAGAAACTGAGGCACAGAGAAGTTATGTAACTTGTCCAAGGTCATACAGCTAGCAAGTAGAGGAACCAGGATTTAAACCCACACGGGCTGGCTCCAGAGCCCATGATCTCCATCACTAACCTATGAATGCCTGTTGTTACCAGCTGCTTTTCAACCACTGGGCTAGCAATGCTGGGTTGTGAGCATTAACAGACCTCATTTTGGGCGTCTGACATGACCTGGATTTGTAGACACCTGTATATTCAGAGATAATAATATTTCTGCTCTGTTGCTCTTGAGTTTTAAAAAATACTTAAGGAGAACATACCTTTATTCTTTCCCCAGTACCTAGCATACTGTCCCTAATGTAGACACACTTAAGTTTCCTAGGCAAGCATACTTTGTTTGACTGATTTGGTAACATGGCATAGAGGTTGTTTAGCCATCACTGGAAGAGTGTTGCTGATATTTAGGGTTATTTTAATCCTACAAGGTTATACACAAGATGACAACCCATCTTCTTGTCTCTAGAACTGTACCTTAAATGGAGTGCTCAGTAAATATTTACTGAAATGCACTATCACCCCCCCATCACACCCATGACTATCAGGGCCTGAGTCCCCATGAGCATCCCTAGAATGCTCCCCGGCCCCCTGTGCTCCTCTGGCTTTCAAGGAGGCATCCTTGAACACTTCTTAGTTCTTTCTCTATTCTGTTTCTTCCTTATAAGCCCTCTGCCCCCGCCTGTTTTTTTGTTCCCTTGCTGCTTTCTGAGAGAAAAAAAAAAAATAAGCACACCAAGTTGTTAGCATTTTTTCCCCTCTACTCTGCCTTGACTGCACTTGTGACCAAATGCCAGGTGAGAAGGACCGGAGTGGCAGGACTTGCTGTGCCTGGTGGGCAGGTGCTGTGGGGCCAGGCAGTGATTCACTATATTCGTGCAAGACCAACATGTTCTCATTTCCCACTCCTACCAGTTCTTGAGAGATTTTAGCTAAGCAACAAATGCCAATCAGTGGCAGGTTAAAAAGGCTTGAACACACATATCATTAGTGCTTGCTCTTCTATGGTTCACCTATTCCAGGAATATGTCTCATTTAAAAATCACCTCTAAGAAATGGTTCAAAATATAACACAGTTTGTATAAATATTGTGTATTTTAGGATTCTTCCGGCACAGGATAAGCTGACATGTAATGCAGGGTAAATAAGTGCTCTTGGCCAGGTGTGGTGGCTCACACCTGTAATCCCAGCACTTTGGGCGGCTGGGGGATGGGGGGTCTGATCGTAAGTTCAGGAGTTCAAGACCATCTTGACCAGTATGGTGAAACCCTGTCTACTAAAAATACAAAAATTATCTGGGAATGGTAGCAGGCACCTCTAATCCCAACTACTCAGGAGGCTGAGACTGGAGAATTGCTTGAACCTGGGAGGCGGAGGTTGCAGTAAGCTGAGATCACGCCACTGCACTCCAGCCTGGGCTACAGAATGAGACTCCTTGTCAAAAAAAAAAAAAAAAATACCCTTACAGTTTTAGGACCACAAGGTTGCATTTAACCCCTAAGAATCTCTCATAAAAAGTGGCATTTATTTAAGACTAGGTGAGTGAGTGCCCCTCGGTGTGGGCTTCTGCTAGGGGAAGTTTTACTGATCAGAGCATGCTGTTACACAGAATTAGAGCACCGCTTCACATTGATGAGATGGGCATGACACAATGGCCATGATTAACTCAACTCATTTACTTTTCATGATGTTAATTTTCAGTAACGCATTCTTCATGTACAAGTCACACCCTGGACTCCCCACCACTACCTCCATTGATTTCATCTGGAACTTTGTAGATACTGCTGTGGTCTGTGTGCAGCAAGCTAAATAAGTATTTCTGCCTTATTGGGTAATTCTTGTTATCTTTTCCAAACACCTGGAATACAGTCTTTAAATGTTTAAGGATTAGAGCAGCTCGGAGACAGTGATCAATGATTAATCAGCTAATTCCCTCCACAGGCGGAGATAATAAGTGATAAGAGCTCCTCAGCCCAAGGAAACTGGGATGTGACCTCTCCTGTCACCCTAGAAATTACCAAGACAGCCTTTCTTCCTTTATCATCCTGACATTTACTTTTTTTTCTCTTTTCCTTTACCCATCTCTGACTTTTTCCAGATGTCTTTTCTATTTCTTATTACCTCTTTCTCCCCTTCCCCATTTATATTTGCCTTCCTTTTGCTTTTCTTCTTTCTCCCTATCCTTTCTCTGTCCCCTCCATGATATTTTTAGCTTTAAAAAAAAATACAGTAATTATTCTGAAACACAAGTTCCTGTCATGCATATTCTAGGTCAGTGCTTTTCAGACAACAATTCTGGAAATCAGTTAGTCATGAAATTAATTTAGTAGGCCTGTGAAGTGAAATAAAATATCACTGAACTGAATACAATATAAAGTATGACCACAAGGCACATATTACGAATAAGCCTTGTTTCATGAAACTTGTGTTTCTGTGCACAAGTTTAGCATGTGTGTACCTGTTTGCCATGCAACATGTATTTCTTACTGTGGGTGACGTCACAGTTTGGATTTGCTATGCATTATGCATTATGAGTTCATCTTTTCTGGAACCATAAGAATTAGAAAACTTAGCTCTATTCCTGGCATCTGGACACTTATTGTTTGTTGACTGAATGAAAGGATGAGTGAATGACTCCTGTTGGGGGTAATTACAAAAAGAGAAGAGGAGTGAGGAACAAGAGCAGTTTCTGTGGCACACCCAGAGTGGATAAAATAAATGCAGGCCTTGGAAAATACACTTCCATTACTTCCAGTGAATTGGGAGCCAGGATAAGCATGTGAGGCAAGAAGATAGCAAGAAGCTCCAGCTGAAAGTCAAAATGAAAAAGCTATCAGACAAGAAAAGGACCAACGGAGGAAAATGAATGCCTCTTCATTTGAATACTATCTGCAATAGCATCTGCTGTTGTTAAACAAGAAAAACATATTGCAACAAAGTGAATTTGTTAAAATTTGGGGGGAGGGCTATCCTGAATGTTTTTAGTACATATGGAATGACAAATGAAGCTTAATTATGAGTATCTAAAATGACTGGTTTTTTTAAATTTTTTTATATAATTTAACATAGTGCCCGTTTTATTTTGGTAAGTACAAAGCTTACCACATACAAGAGCTTTCATGGGCTCATGTCAGAGCCTAAGTACCCACTTCACATGGGAAGGTGGTCCTGTTGCACCGCTTTTGGAGACCCATACATAGTTCTGTGTGTTTAATCCAAGGGACAGATAGAAATAAGATCAGGAAGAGATGCTAAGGGAAAGAGTATTACTCTTATCCTTAAAGCTGTGTTCTAATCAGGGGAGCAACAGGCTTACATTTGCATTTTGGAAAGGTCACTCTGGAAGTGATGTGGACAGTGGATTAGAGGTGGGCAATAAACAACATATCTGTTGGAAACATCAGGACAAGAAAGTGATTGGAGTCTGCTGTTGGCAGAAATAAAGCTGAAATAGAGAAGGGATATTCTTTTACAAAGGTAGAATCTGTAAGTCTTCTCAAAACTCGTTAGTGGATTGGGTTTCAGGAACATTTGAGAGGCCAGGGGTTTTATAGCTTGGTTGACCATCTATAGTGGCAAGTTGCCAGGATAGCAAATATACAACAAATCCAAGTTTGGAAAGTAAAATGGTGAGTTTCAGACAATAATGGGAAATCTAAGATGATACATCTGGGCCTCAAGAAGTTTTAGATTAGAGAGATTCAATAATTTGGGTTTTTTCTGCTCTTGATTTAAAAAGCAAATAAGTTAAATTTCTTAACTTTCTCTAAACTAAAGGAGCCCAAGTTAAATAGATTATTTATATGTGCTTTAAACATTTTCTAGAGATTCACTTTAGAATCCCTAGAAAACATTCTTAATTACACTCCTAAATTACATTCTTAAAGGGAAGGCATTCTTAAAGGGAAAACATTCTTTAATTTCTGATAGAGACAAAGATTTTATGGTTTTTAAATGTATTTTTGTCTCATAAGACACTCTTACTTTTTACATGAGCAAGCAGGTTAATCCTGGGGAGCAGATTTGGATCTGATGTGGTCATATGAAGTATATTACTCACTGATTTTCTTTGCTGTGTATACAGGAACCACATTTTTTAGTGTTTTAACCTTTTGTTATGTTGTTAGTTTACCAAATTATCATCAGTTTTGTGTATGGGAAATGGGTGGGAGGATTTGGGCCAGATGGAGTAATTACTGAGCCTTGTGCTGTGTCACGGTGCCTTCCTGACAACCGTTCCTTTTGTGAAATGAAGATGAGTGTCCAGGTATGATGTATTTATAGCCTTTGTCTCCTCTGAGCATATACTAGAAGTCTTTTCAGTTAAGATAAACTTTTGGCTGAAATACAAGAAAACGCGTTTCAATTTTATATTTAAATAGAATCACAATGCCCTTGGCATGTTACTCAGAACCTTAAAAAGTACAAACTCTGGCCAGGCATGGTAGCTCATGAATTCCCAGCACTTTGGGAGACTGAGGTGGGTGGATCACAAGGTCAGGAGTTCGAGACCACCCTGGCAAACACGGTGAAACCCTGTATCTACTAGAAATACAAAAATTAGGCAGGCGTGGTGGCACATGCCTGTAGTCTCAGCTACTCAGAAGGCTGAGGCAGGAGAATTGCTTGAACCCGGGAGGCAGAGGTTGCAGTGAGCCAAGATCTTACCACTGCACTCCAGCCTGGGCGACACAGCAAGACTCCATCTCAAAAAAGTAAAGAAAAAACTGCCTTAAGTCCAAATTGTGTTTAAAGTTTACTAACAGACCTTTTAGTATTATATAAGTAATTTTCCATGTTAAGTATTTTAATGTTATTACTTATTTTCCTTAGGGTCTTATGAAGAAATTTGAGAAATCATTACTCTGGAAATCAATTGCATTCTATTTTTGTAATTAAAGATCTGCTCATGTTTTATAAACATCTTTCTGCCCTCCCTCCCAATTTTATGGGAACAGAAAATCCTTGATAAATGGAACCTACTATGTGGTATTATTCATCTAAAACTAACCTAAAAAGACTTTGAGTTCTTGAGGGCAAGGCCCATCTGTCTTTGTATCCCCAGTCTCTATCATGATACCAATAACATTAAATTATATAAATGAGGAATATTTGGCATTCAACAATTTTACCTCTTTTAGGAATTTTATGCAGTAATGCATAAAATGTAAGAGAGATGCAAGGGTTAACAAATTGGAGCAAATGGCAAAGCAAATGATAAATATTTGTAAGTTTTCACTTTACTATGGTTTATTTTTGGTATTAGATGTGCCAACTCAGAGTCCTGGGCAGGCATCTCTTAATTTTCCCAACTGACAAACTACTGCTATTCTTATTAGTTAAGTTACACATTGTCTTAGGACAGGCTAAAATGGACCATGGTTTTCTGATTTTAGATTCCCTACTGCTACCAAATGTCTGAAGCTTTTGAGAAAATTTCCTCGCATAGGTAAACTAGCTCTTGAAGTCCCTTGATCAACATGTCTAGAGGAACCATGATTTCCTGATTTGTATTTGCCTGTTGTTTCCAAATACACGAAGCTCTAAAAGATTTGCTTTGTTTTTATATTTAACCAGCTTTTAGAATTTTATGATTTTAGAAAACTATTGTGGTTTGATCTTACTTGGAAAGAGTAGAAATTTTTATATTCTTAAAAATCTTGCCTCTCAAACCCACTTTCTGTTAACTTGCAAAAACACTCTTTATAAGATGGTTTTACATCCATTATTAAAGTTTTTATTCTGTATGTATGATGTCACCAAAATCCTAATTAAATCCTGAAATGTCTGAATAAAATGTATCCTGTCCTTATTCTGAAGAGAAAAGGAATTGAGACTATCTTGACTTTCTTAACTATTTTGTTTTACTCTTTATGTTAAAAATGTATGAATGTCAAAATAAAATCAATTCATGCTCTTTAAGCATTTTATGTCAGAGAAGTGTGTTAGTTTTTTTAAATAAAACTCTTTTAGGCTTATTTCAAAACATAAATAGCTAAATTGGTAGCTCATTTATCATGTGGCTTGAAAATACAAAAGTAAATTAAATAGAATTAGTGTGCTCAAATACATTTATTTTTGATAGTAGAATAGAGCTAGGAAAATTGTTATGGTAATCTTAGAAGCATCAGTAAATGTTTAACAGATAGAAAAAGAACAAAAAAATGTAATTTTAGATGTCTTTCTGACAATGCTGCATAAAATTATATTGAAGCGTCTTAGGCCAGCAACTTTGTTTTGCACACTCCTATCTGTTCATTATTATTCCTATTGGCCCAAAGATTTTGCTTTTATTACTTGTTTTGAACAGTTTTAACTCTTAGACTTTGTCATGCTATAACAGAATCAGTTACTGGTTTGTTTATAAATCATGTAGGTGATTAAATTAAGCTTATTGTTAAGTTTATTGTTTCTCTTTAACCTTTAATTTTTATTTATTTATTTTTTAATCTGAAACTTTGGATATGTTTCCCTGCAGTCTTATAATAAGAAACTCAACTGGTGTAATCTGAATTATTCACATACTTATTTATTCCCAAAGCCTCTCTATAATGACTTCTAGAGATACAAAGGGATAATCAGACTTGTGTGGAGAAGTACACGATGGTATTTTCAGGATGTCCCATAATGTGCATACATGTGTACACACACGAGTGTGAGAGTTTGTGTATGCATGTGAGTGTGTAGCGTATTAGGACTATGAAATTTGAGAACTGGAAAATGATTAGACATCATCTGATTCTGTCCTCTGATTTTATAAGAATAGTCCTAGAGAAGGTCAGTAGTTCACTCAGAGTTGTTTTTTTTTTTTTTTTTTTAATTTAAGTTCTGGGATACATGTGTAGAACACGTAGGTCTGTTACATGTGTAGAACATTTAGGTCTGTATACATGTGCCATAATGGTTTGCTGCATCCATCAACCTGTCATCTACATTAGGCATTTTTCCTAATGCTATCCCTCCCCTAATTCCCCAACCCCTGACAGGTCATGGAATGTGGTGTTCCCCTCCCTGTGTCCATGTGTTCTCATAGTTCAACTCCCAGTTATGAGTGAGAGTATGTGGTGTTTGGGGTTCTTGTCCTGTGTTAGTTTGCTGAGAATGATGGTTTCCAGCTTCATCCATGTCCCCTGCAAAGGACATGAACTCATCCTTTTTTATGGCTGCATAGTATTTCATGGTGTATATATGCTGCATTTTCTTTATCCAGTCTATCATTGATGGGCATTTGGGTTGGTTCCAAGTCTTTGCTATTGTGAATAGTGCTGCAGTAAACATACATGTGCATTATAAAATGATTTATAATCCGTTGGATATATACCCAGTAATGGGATTGCTGAGTCAAATGATATTTCTGGTTCTAGATAGTTGAGGAATCACCACACTATTTTCCACAATGGTTGAACTAATTTACACTCCACCAACAGTGTAAAAGTGTTCCTATTTGTCCGCATGCCCTCCAACATCTGTTGTTTCCTAACTTTTAAATGATCGCTATTCTAACTGACGTGAGATGATATCTCATTGTGGTTTTGATTTTCATTTCTCTAATGATCAGTGATGATGAGCTTTTTTTATATATATTTGTTGGCTGCAGAAATGTCTTCTTTGGAGAAATGTCTGTTCATATTCTTTGCCCACTTTTTGATGGGGTTGGTTTTTTTTTCGTTGTAAATTTGTTTAAGTTCCTTGTAAATTCTGGGTATTAGCCCTTTGTCAGATGGATAGATTGCAAAAATTTTCTCCCATTCTGTAGGTTGCCTGTTCACTCCGATGATTGTTTCTTTACTTTTGCAGAAGCTCTTTAGTTAATTAGATCCCATTTTTCTATTTTGGCTTTTTGTTGCCATTGCTTTTGGTGTTTTAGTCATGAAGTCTTTGCCCAAACCTGTGTCCTAAAGCGTATTGCCCAGGTTTTCTTCTAGGGTTTTTATGGTTTTAGGTCTTATATTTAATTCTTTAATCCATCTTGAGTTAACTTTTTATAAGGTGTAAGGAAGGGGTCCAGTTTCAGTTTTCTGCATATGGCTAGCCGGTTTTCCCAACACCATTTATTAAATAGGGAAACCTTTCCCCATTGCTTGTTTTTGTGAGGTTTGTCAAAAGTCAGATGGTTGTAGATATGTGGCGTTATTTCTGAGGCCTCTGTTCTGAACAGAACAGATCAGGGTTGCTTTTAAATGGTAAAGCTGGGACTCAAATTTGTTTATTTGGGCCTCAGAAACAAAGTGCAGTAACGGAATCTGCTGATCCAGGCACCTGGAGTTTACCCAACGTGTACACCTACTGGGTTCAGCTTAAAAGTGGGGGAGCACCCACAGGAAGCATGGTTAATAGCAAACATCCATGTGAGCAAATGGTTAGCAGCTTGTCACCAAAGGAAGAAGAGGGAGAAGACAGAAAACATAAAGCAGGAGTCCTCAAAATGTGGTCTGCAAACCCCTTAAAATGTGGTCTGCTAACCCTCCTTCCAAGACCCTTTGGTTGGGTCTGTGATAGCAAGTCAGTGGCACCAAAGTATACTGGTGATCATTATTTTCTTCACTCTTACACACTCACGGCAAAAAATGAGAGACAGAGACAGAGAAGAAAGAAAAAAAAATACCAGTTTTATTAAATCTTGACAAAGCAGTAAAAATTATTAAATATTAACACTTGAATGCATGTCTTTTTAGTATTCTTTATGACAAAATGGAAAATATGCATAAAGCACTTCTTGCATATCATAATACTTTTATTTCAAAGTACTGTGGTTGTCTTGAGGAAAAGAACTTGTGTGGTGATTGTCTAAGTTGTGGCTAACTCACTGTTTTTTTTTTTTATGAGCAAACTCGTTGGTTTTTTTCACCAAACACCAATTGAAATAATGACTGACAGACAAACTGTGTTTCTTCAGGCTTGGATATTTGACAGGCACTTTCTCAAAAATGAACAAAGTAAGCCTGTCACTTCAAGAAAAACAATTTACAGTATTTGTTACCAATGATAAAGTTAGATCTTTCAAGTGAAAATCAGAATTTTTGAAAACATCTATCTACCACCATGAACAATACTTAAGATTTTTTTAGGAGATCAGTAGCAATCTTAACAAATGTGATTTTTTGATATTGTGTAATGAGATGTGTTATCATTTAGATGATCTGCATAAGTGAGTGAACCAGTATTTTCCAGATGACCAATACATGCTGTTAAAGACTCATGCACGGGTAAAAACATTAATTCCAAGTGTAAGATGCATCAATGGATAAGAGTGTGTGGGAAGTTCATTGACGTGGTTTCAGTTCTACATTGCAACTAACCTTTAAGAAACCTGTCAAATTTTGTTGTATTAGCAAATAAAAATATCCGAAGGCTTATTTGGAAGGCTATTAAAATACTGCTTCCTTTTCTAACCATGTATCTCTGTGAGGCCATATCTTCTTCATGTGCTCCAACCAAAACAATGTATCATGACAGATTTTACAGAAGCAGATTTGAGAATCCAGTTGTCTTCTATTCAGCCAGATATAGAAAATATTTGCAAACTGTGAAACATTGCTTCTTTTGCCACTAATGTTTTTGTTTTTAAAATATAGTTATTTTTCATTAAGAAGTTGTTTATGCTATCATGTGTTGAGTTTGTTATTTTAATAAATGTTTTTTAAACTTCTGTCTTACTGTCTTGTATGGTAAATATCACTAGATATAACCCATATTAACCAAAGCTAATTGAGGTCTTCAATAATGCTTTTAAGAGTGTGAAGGGATTCTGAGACTAAAAGTTTGAGAACTTATTTGCATAGGGTATTTGATTATTTATGTCAGTATGCATTACTGAGGCAACCAGGGACATTATTATGTTACAGCCTTGCTCAGTATTTGCCAGCAGGATGATATCTGTGACTGGTTGAAGAAATGTTACTTTCTATGATTTATTATTTTTTAAGGAATTAAGGAAGAAAATGTTCTCTTTTTTTATTTTTATTTTTTATTGAACTTTAGGTTCTGGGGTACATGTGCAGATCATGCAGGATTGTTGCATAGGTACATACATGGCAAAGTGGTTTGCTGCCTCCATCACCCTGTCACCTATATCTGGCATTTCTCCCCATGTTCTCTCTCCCCAACCTCCCCCACTTCCTGCTGTCCCTTCCCTAGCCCCCCACAACAGACCCCAGTGTGTGATGCTCCCCTCCCTGTGTCCATGTGTTCTCATTGTTCAGTACCTGCCTATGAGTGAGAACATGTGGTGTTTGATTTTCTGTTCTTGTGTCAGTTTGCTGAGAATGATGGTTTCCACATTCATCCATGTCCCCACAAAGGACACAAACTCATCGTTTTTTATGGCTGCATAGTATTCCATGGTGTATATATGCCACATTTTCCTTGTCCAGTCTATCATCGATGGGCATTTGGGTTGGTTCCAGGTCTTTGCTATTGTGCCACAATGAACATATGTGTGTGTGTGTCTTTCTAATAGAATGATTTACAATCCTTTGGGTATATACCCAGTAATGGGATTGCTGGGTCAAATGGAATTTGTTCTCTTTTTAAAGCATTCCATCAAAAACTGATCTGAACTTTTTAGGATGCTTTCAGTTCCAAATAACAGAACCTGTAACTCAACCGGTTTAAATGATAAGATAATTTATTATCTTACTTCCCTGAAAGATTGCAGATGGGCAGGCTCCAAAGTTGGTAGATTCAGGGGCTTTGTGTGATCATGAAATGCCCAGAATTTTCCATCTCTTTGCTGCCCCATTCTCAGTGTTGCCCCATCCTCAGACCAGTAGCAAGTTGGCTGCAGCAATTCCAGGTGCCACAGTCAGACACAGTAGTGCCCAGAGCATAGGGGAAACACTGTCTCAGTGTCTCCTCCTTAGGAGCAAGGAGTCCCAGAACTTGCTCAGCAAATTTCTCACGCCCAAATGGCCAGGACTGGGTCAGATGCTAACCCCCACGTATGTTACTGCAAGGCTATGGGCTGATGGTAATTGGCTTAGAATAATCATTGAGGGTGCATGGATATGGGGAAGTCAATCAGATGACTTAGTTATTATAAACAAAATCCTTTCTACTTATCCAGTTAACTGAAAATTCATTTTCACAGGTGCCCAAAAAGAGAGGTAGCCTGAATCTGTGGAAATAATTCTAGGCCAGAGAATCAGGTGCTCTGGGATCTGATCCCATGCCTTCCACTGTTGAACTGTGAGTCCTTACCTGTCCAGGTTGTGGCTGCATTGCTGGTGCTTGGACTAGAGCACTAGGTCTGGGATCATCTATTCATTGGCTCATTTATTCCCTTACTCACTCCTTCATTCAATAATATTTATTGAGTGCTCACTCAGTTGTCTAAGTCACACGAAGGGTACAAATCAGCACTAAAATGCTGCCTGTTCAGCCATGACAGACGTTGTTCCTCCTGTGCTGCACACACAAATTCAAAGCCCAATGGGAAGTAAGATCCAAACTGTTCGCTCATGCAATAAATTATTTAGTGTCCTCAGCAAAGAGTCCTTGCTACAAAGCTTGTTAGTGAACAGTTATATCCCAAGTTTCCCCTCATCTTATTAAATATGAAATTTGTTTAAAAATGAAAACATAGTAAAATATATTCTGAAAAAGGTAAGTCTTTGTCCCAGGAAAGATGCTTGCGGGCCTGGCTGTCTATAGTTGTCCCAGTTCCCTCAGTATCAGAAAGAGTATGATGCAGAGAACCAGGCAGTTAAGAGAACAGAAGGACAGCTGTGAGAAATGAGACCATGTTCTCGGAATATCCAAGGACACTCTTGTGTTGTGGTTCCCAGATAAGATTCTTAGAAAGGTTTTATTTTTTTAAACCAAGC